TTCTTTTTCTTTCCTTTTCCTCCCCAGGTGTCCTTTGTGGCTCATGTTGCAGGTGGCTTGGCTGGGATGTCCATAGGTTACATCATTTTCAGCTGCTTTGATAAGAGCTTTATAAAAGATCCGAGATTTTGGATTTCTATTGTTGCTTATTTGGTCTGTGTTGTGGCTGCTGTATTGTTTAACATCTTTCTTTCACCTGCAAACTAAACCAAACTAATCATGAAAGAATTGTTAAAAACTTCAGGGAACTGACATAAAAAACTTGTCTCACTTTTATATAACTACAGGAGGACTCTGTAAATGTAGTCTTTTTTTAAAACAGTTTTTAGATTTTTAAAAAGTCACCTTGACAGTGATCCTGTCTTGGAAATGCAATGTTTTTACTAAAATATACAACTTAAAAACCCCAACAACCCCCCCCCCCCACAAATAAAGCCTTTTCCATATTATTGCTTTGTATACAATTGAACTAAATAAAATGATTCTTGGTTGCTTTTATAGATTTCTTTTCTACTTTGTTTTAAACCGAGTTGTCTTTGTGATGTGACTAAATACAAGATAGCAGAGATTACTTTTTCACGTACCAGTGTTCTGGCCTCAAAAATAGCGATCAGTGAAACGAAGTCTTCTTTTTAGAAGCTGATGGTAAGGGTTTACAGCTGTATATTTATTTACGTACTTGATTTATATGCTGCCGGTACCAACAAAGGCTCACAGCAGCTTATAGTAAGAGGCAAAGTAACTTTTATAAAAGCAGATTGACTATTAAAATAAGGCACAAAAACAAAAGCCACCCCTCTCCCAGCTTAGCTTTGTTTGCTAAACGTTTGCTGAATTAGGAGGGTCTTACAGCGTTTCAAGCTTGGGCTCTGGCAGGCCTCAAAGGGGAGGGAGTTCTGGAGTTGAAGGAATCACTGCTAAAAATGTCCTCTGTGCAACTGCACTGAGTGGACACTGATATTGGTGCATTGATGGTACTTGCAGGAAGGTGGTCTTTGCTGACTTCAGGGATTGTGATGGGCTGCATAAGGGAAAAGGCCATCCACTAAGTGTTGTGTGTAAGGGAAAAATACACGTTGTAGAATAGATAGGGTTTTTCCTTGATCTTACTCGCCTTATAATACAAGCCCCATTAACTTGGCCTGAGCAGTGGGATCCAATGTGCTGTTACTGCATTCAAGTGGCACTCACTGCAGACAGAGGAAGTTTTTCTGGCAGCTTGTCTTTAAATTTAAGAAGGTTAGGGGGATTATACATGGAGCTATGGAGATCCTGCCTTTCTGCAGGGTTCCTTGGACTTTCCTCCAAACTGGCAAATAGCTCCTTGTGCAGACAACATAACAATCAACATAGATCATGAAAATGTAACCTAGGGCTGGAAGGAGCTCTTTTGACTCCAGTCCCCTCCTGTTGCACATACCATGCACCATCTTCACCCATTCATGAACTAAATTTTTTGCATCCAATGTGGATTAGTTGTGTGCCCTGGCTGCTACTTTTGGCAGGCTGTTCCAGCGATTTGGGAGCCCTAAGCACTATGTCTGTCTTGAATTATGTAATCCAAGAAGGGCAGAGACTGTCGTCTTTTGATGCCTCTAGGGTGAAAGAGAGGTTGGTTTGTACTGTACTTACTTTTCTCTTATAGGAACCTCCTGATGCTGAAATACTGAGTCTGCTCAGCCTGGCTCTTTTCTGTATTTTTTTTTTTTTTTTTTGTTAGCTTTCGCAGCAAATGAGAGGGGTTCAT